ACAGATTTCTCCGATCTGGACGCAGAGGACCGCCCACCCCCCCTACGTGCGAGTGCACCGCTTCAATCGCGCTCCCGAGGGGAGCATGCAACCATTTCCCGATGCACCGCTGTCATGACTGGTGTTTCTGCCGATGTCCTCCTCCTCCTTCTCCTCCTCTTTCTCCTCCTTTGCCTCCCCCTCCTCCTCCTCCTCTTCCTCCTCCTCCGTCCTCCCCTTACTCCTCTTGGACCCCCTGATCCTCTAAGACTCCCCCTAGAACCCTCCGGACCCCCAAGGTCTATTGTCGTTTGAAAGCCTTGGCCCTCCCCCTCGTCCTTCCACCCCGTTATTCTGTCACTCGGTGAAGTTCGGAGCATTTGGGCTCCCGTCATTTAGTTCCTGAGCCTCATTCTCCTTCTTATCCGTACTCTTCCTTTGAGAAGCTTTTACGCACCAAAGGCGACAGCATCGACAGCCTTGTGATCTCGTTGCGCATCTGATCCGTGATGGTGACAGCAGTCGGATTCGTTCTGAACACCTCCAAGACTGTAGGCCAGACCACCCGATGAGTTTAGGGCAAAGATGCGGGCCCTCGCATTCCCCAGCTTGGAGATGATTGTCTCGAGGTGCGGAACGTATCTCGGGGTCTACCTCGGACACGGCTGCCGTGAACGAACACGAGTTGAGCCATTGGTTCATTTCCAGCTAAGGCGGTCACCCACAATAAGATTCTTCATTGCAGCGTGTTGTCGCACGTGCATGTTACAGTTTCCTTGTCGTTCTCGGCATTCCATGACGGTCGAGCGAGAGATGCTGCAGCTTGTCGTCCCGGCTTCTCGCACTGACATTCCTCCCTCTGTCCCCTGCTCTCTCCGCTCTTTGACTTGCTTGCCCAAGCCCGGGCCCCTATCTTCGCCGGCTGTGTTGCCCGATAGCGCGCAGCATTCAGGTTGCCAGCCTTGGATGTCAACAACCGCCTCATTGAAGCATGTTCGGGAACAGGCGACTTTGCACTCGTGTTAAAGCACCTGTCTCTTTCGAGAGGGTCCCAGTTTCTGGTTCGGAGGAGGAAGAGGAGGAGGAGGAGGAGGAGGAGGAGGAGGAGGAGGAGGTGGAGGAGGAGGAGGAGGAGGAGGAATGGGAATGGGAATGTGTGAGGCCCTAAGCAGGGCAAGGCGGCGAGCCGCCTCAGAAGTTGCCGTGCGCCTCCTCATCCGAAGAGTCGGCGTCCGGACCAGCAGAGCGGCGGGCAGCCGCGCGCCCGAGCTCCCGCACCATCTCCACGTCGTCCTCCTGCAGCCCATGGCACTTCAGCAGGTGGAGTCGCGCCGCGCGCCCCTCGAGCGACGCTCCCCTGGGCTCCTCTGCTGCCCCGTGCCCGCGGCTGACCGCCGCCGCTGGGCTTCCCAGCAGGTCCGCGGCCAGCTCCAGCTGCTCGTCGAAGCCCAGGGCGAAGGGGCCCACAAGCTTCTCCCCGCGGTGGCCCGCGCGGTAGTGCGGCCACCTGTGCTGGTAAATGAGCCGCAGCTGCTCCACGCCAGCGGGAGTGCGACCACGGCGCCCGAGGCAGGGTGCTTGGAGCAGCTTGCCGGGGCGCCTCCCGGTCATCACGGCGCCGCAGGAGAGGCAGAAGACCAGGCGGACCTCGGGCCTCTGCACGACCCCGCAGCGCAAGAGCGCATGCCCTTGCACCCGCCACGCATGCCTGGCCAGCACAGCCTCGTCCAGGTCGAACGTGAGGGAGTCGCACGGGGGCCCGTGCCGCACGGCCGCAACAGGCCCATGACCGTCACCTGGTAGCTCTCCAGCAAAATCGTCGGCTGCGGGATCCCCATCAATCACGGACAGGGGCGCCGCAAGCTCCACGTCCACCGGAGGCAGGCCAGAGCCCTGTTCGCTGGCCGCAGGCTGGTCGGCTAGCAGGTCGTCTAGCACGAGCGGTGAGCCAATCTGGCCTGCACCCGCTGCTGTTGCTGCGCCAGGGCCCGCCGCCGCATCTGTGGGGGCTGCAGGCTGGCGCCGCAGGACATCTTCATGATCCAATCGAGCACCGTCACCAAGCGAGGCCTCCAGGGAGGCGCTCCAGCACGCCGCCTCCTCAGCGAGGACACGCAGACCACGCCACAGGGCCGCGTCGGGCTCGCCGATGCCGTGCCTGGCCGCTCCCCGCTTTGCCAGTTCGTCCGCATGGTCGTTGGCCCGCCTCTTCCAGTGCGTGCTGCGGCCGGCGTCCACGTCGGCAGTGGTCGCGTGCCCGAGCGTCTTGTGGGCCTCGAAATCGGCCTCGCCGAACGCCGCCCAGAAGGGCCCCCACAGGTGAGGCCTCATATCCGAGCCGCGGGCCCCCGCCCCTGGGCCGCCCGCCAGCACCCGCAGCGTGTTGGCGCAGTCCAGGTAGAGCTGGAAAGGTGCCATGGCCACCATCGTGATAGTCCTCGGCGTCGGGGGCTGTCTGGCCAGGCGCCGCAGAGGTGGGCACGGGCCCGAACGCTGCCGCCTCCAGGCGCCTGAAGCGGTCGACCTGGACCACTGCCCATCCAGCGTGTTCCAGCCCAGGTAAGCGGCCCATAAACGAGCTGCCATCCAGGAAGAGGCAACCGGACAGCCTCCCGGAACTGGGCTTGTTGATCCAGGAGATGTCACCCTCAGCACCGATTCGCTGGAACAGGCAGCGGGGGTCTGGCCACAAGCCTCTGCAGAACCGCTCTCCCGCTTCCACGCTCCAGTGCCTGACCCTCGCCGCGCGTTGGCGGAGGCGGAGCGATGCCTGGTCGCGGCGCAGCCCGGCATGGGCGGGGCACTCGTAGTGGCGGTGGTAGAGGCTCCCCAGGCCGCCGCCGCAGAGCCTGCAAGTCGAGGAGCCCACCAGGCCATGGACGAAGAGTCGCGCCTGGGGCCAGTGCACGTTGGTGGCCAGGGCGCGGAGGGCCCCCTGCTGCCTCTTGCCCCAGACGTCCGTCTTGCGCCTGAGGAACCTGCGCAGCGGCGCCCAGAAGATCGGCCAGCTGGGAAGGGCCTCCACACCACGAGCCAGGGTCTTGCCAGTGGCCCTGAGCGCTAGCCTGTCGGAGGCCCGCACCGCGGCGCGCTTGACCTCCTCCTTCAACTGGCGGGGCCCCAGACGCAGAAGGTCGAAGACCACATTCTCATCATTGCGCAGCGCGAGGGGCCCTTCGAACTCCCAGCCCAGCCTGCGGGCCGTCAGAAGGGCAGCGTCCGCGGGCGTGCACGCAGTGCGCCAGGGGTGCTGGCTGAGGCTGGCGCGCTGGACAGCAGCGGTCAAGGTGACCTCCAGCACGCGGCCCTGCACCTGCTGCTCCCAGACTGCCATCGCCCAGATGAACAGCACATCCATGGAATGCAGCACCAGCGGGTCGAGCATGACGCCCTGCTGGTGGGCGTGCAGCCGCAGACCCAGCGAGCAGCCCTTGGGCAGCCGCCCCGCCGCCGCTGCCGCCTGGACCCTGAGGCCGTGCAGCGGCCCGTCAGCCAGGCCTGCAGTGGCAGCGCCCCACAGGGCCGAGGACGTGGCCCCCATCCGCTGCAGCATGCCTGCGTCGCCAAGGCCTCCGCGCCGCAAGTGCGCGTAACGGCCCCCGCGTCGGCGGGCCTCCACTCCCCGGGCCGCCTGCGTGGAGACCGAACGCCGGGCGCAGAGGGTGTGGTTGGTGCCCAACGCTTTCATGGTGGCAGCCTTCGCCGACGCAGGCAGAGCCCACGACCCCTGGAGCTCCTTGTCCAAGGCCGCGTCGGAGGCGAGGTACTTGTTCTTGCCCGGGGCAAGCGGCAGCTCCAGTTCCGCAAAGTCGCGCAGCAGGCTGTCCAGGCAGGCGGTGGCCTGCTTCACCACCAGGCGGCGGGTGCCCGTCACGTTCACCAGGACGTCGTCTACCACGTTGCGGAGGGAGACACATGGGCCCGCTGCACTCGCCCTCCTCAAGGGGCTAAGGAGCAGGAGACGGGCCATCGACGTGGCGCCACTGCAGCCCGCCACGATAGCTGCCGACGCCTCGAAGCTATTGGACATGCACCCTTCGAAGAGGACCGCCCGCCAGCCGGCATAGATGCAGCGCAGCCCTCGCACCACCTTGAGCGGGAAGTGGTGCATCTTGGCCGCCTCAAGCAGGTGGCTGAGCCTCACGTTCTCGTAGAATCGCTGCAGGTCCAGGCCCACCGTCGTGGACGAGAAGCCGACCTCGCGCCCGAACCCCGCCATCAGATTGTGGGTGTAGCCAGCCCAGTCACAGCTGGTGAGAGTCGACCCACCCCAGAAGAAGGCATCATCATGGGCCCGCTCCCAGGCCGCGCACAGCGGCCGCCGAAGCCGGGACCACAGGCGCGGGAACAGTGCCAGGAGCCCAATTGGTCGGACTCCCCCTCCCGCCTTCGCGATGAAGATCATCTGCGCCTGGAAGGCCAGGAAGGCGCCTGGTTGCTCCTCGAACTTCACAATGATATCGAGGAACCTTTGAAGCGCCTCGTCCCCCAGCTGCAGCAGCACCCTCGGGTTGAGCCCGTCCCGGCCCAGCCCAGCGGACTCGGTATACCTGCCGCATACGTCTTTCAGCTGCTCCACCGCGAGCGGCGGGGGCTCCTCGTCGCCGACGTCCCACTCGGAGGGGTGAGCATCGCCCGCGCGCCTGCGAGTTCATAGGTGGGCTCAGTAACGCAGTTACGTGCGAACCTAAGCTGCACGCTGATGCTCATGCAGATTGGGCGGCGGGGTGAGGATGCAGCGAAGGCATGTGTCAAGCACTCCGTGCGTCGCCGTTTTGGGTCGAGACGCTACCCCCGCACCCTTGCCTTCGATTCGATTCGATTCCGTTCTCGATTCGATTTTGCGCGAATCCCTGGGCTTGGATTCAGGGGGGGTGATGGCGCTCTTTCCTCCGAAGGCCACTGCATTCGGCTGGGGCAAGGTGGCCGACGTCGTCTAGTGGGTGGGGTTGTCCACGAACGCCATCCAGGCCTTCCGGGAGATCACGGGCAACCTGGGGGATCCGATCCGCAACGTCGCGATGCTGAGCCCGACGGTGATCGCAGATGCGGGCCGTCGGGCCCGCTTGGCAGAGACCCCCTTGGAGCCGGTGCAGGTCGCTCAGTGGGGTCTGATTTGGCGTATCGCTCGACGCATCGCTGTCTCTCTCGGCGGTGGGGCGACTGCTTGGGAAGATTGGGTGGACCTCGACCCTTTCGAGCCCAAGAAAGAGGCGGCGGCAGCAGCCCCGGCTGTTCCTGCAGGGAGCTCGAAGGAGAACGTGGTCAAGCTGTCTAAGGTGCTGGGCCAGGGCGACGAGTCGGAGATCGCGCTCGCGTCCAGCTCTACTCATCAGAAGTGGGTGGAGGCATGCGCGGCTGCGACGTCGGGCGAGGACCCGGTTCCAGAGGATACGCCTTCCATCCAACAGTTGACGGCGCTCCACCACCGCGTGTACGCCATGAGGTCTACTCCTTACGCAGACTTCGGGGTATGGGGGCCTTTTGGGCGAAAGGCTTATCGCAACATGCAGTTTCGGGCATGGTTCCTCCTACCTGGTGGAGGTTGGCTGGCGAAAGAATTGCCCGGCCCAGCCAACTACGATCAGTGGTTGATGTCGTGGAGGGTCTTCGCGACGGCCTGCATTATGCTCGAGATTGCATCGAGGGCGGCACTGGATGCTTACCAGCGCCACGTCGAACGGCTGGCGACTCAGTGGCCCGATGCGTGGCATTTGATATACATGGCAGACGGCAAGCTCAGGGCCGAGTTCATCGAGAGGTTCCGGCGCACCGTGGTGAAGAACATGAGCCTCGGCAAGGGGGCCCCATCCGATTGGAACGCAGATAAGCCCTGGACCGCGTTGTTCCTCTACGCGGTGGCGAACCGCGAGTGCTGGAACGAGCAGGTGCGGGACCCGGCGGCCGCCTGGCTGGCCAGAGGAGGCAAGGGAGTGCCGCTGCAGCCATGGATCCCGACGAGCAGGTAGCAATCCGGTCCTTGCCGGGGGGCGCCGACGCGGTGCGCAAGAAGCCCGGCTGGGGCCGGTGCGCCCCTGTCAACAACAAGGAGTTGGAGCGCGAGTGGTCGCCCAGCATCCCCAGGGAGAGGTGCCGCCGCCGCTCGCGGGGCCGGAGCCGGCGTGCCCGAAGCGAGGCCCGGGCCGCGCCAACGGAGAAGAAAATGCAGATGTGCTACAGTTTCTCCAAAAACTTTGGCCCCTGCAAGGGTGCGGCCCCGGGGTCCAAGTGCCCGGCTGGGCGCCGCCACGTGTGCCGCGTTTGCGGCAGCCCCAACCGCGCGGGCCACGAGAAGAAGTACCAGGGCACGAGCGCCAAGGGCAAGGGCGACGGCAAGACCGGCAAATCGGCCGGTGGCAGCAAGAAGCGGGGGTAATGTGCCCAACAGGGGCGCTGGGGCGGCCATAGAGCCAGGCGCGAGCCCCCAGTGCCTCTCAGTACCACTCGCGCAGGACCACTCGAAGGTCATCTCCCCGGGAGCGCACGTCGTCCCCAGCTGGTCGCCGCCCAGGCCGTCATCGCCGACGCCTTGGGAGGCCGCCACGGACCAGGCCTGGGCGCCTCACCGGCGCGCTCCGGCACTGCCGCCGCCTTCCGGCGCAGGCGAGTTGACGGCGCCGCGCAAGCTGGCCAGGGAGCTGGAGAACACCACCTTCCCGGGGGGAATGCGGAATCCAGCCCGGGCGGTTGGCTTGAAGCCAGGCTTGGCTCGCGCGGGCGCTGTGGCCAGGCGCGCGTTCGAGGATTTCGTGGCGGACGCCCCAGAGGCACTCCGCATCGTCCATGCACTGGGTCACCAGTCGTGTGCTGGACCTCCAGCGGGGCAGGTGGAACGGTTGAGAATGGGCTTGAGACGGGCGTTCAACATCCCGGAGGAGAGGGTGTCGGCGCACGACCTTGGCGCCCCCTCTCCGTTGCAGGGCGCCTTGATCCAGGGCTGGCTCCGGGCGGCCAACGATCCAGAGAGCCAGTTGCAGGAGTGGATCGAGCAAGGAGCGCCCCTGGGAATTGAGCGGCCCATCGTCCCGTGCGGGGTCTTCCCGCCGGTTGAGCCCGCCACCGAGTTCAAGCATGTGCTCTCCTTGGAGGAGGCGGTGGCGTCCGGGATGGGGAACTACGCCAGCTTGGACGACAACCCGGAGGACGCCAAGATTGAGCTGGACAGGTTGAAAGCGAACGGTTTCTACATCACCGTCGACGAGGCCACGGCTTTGGAATGGTTTCCAGATGGGTCCGTCGCCGAGCTCGCGCTCATCGTCACCTTGAAGGCGAATGGGACCGTGAAGAGGCGCATCATCATCGACATGCTCCGGGGCGGCCAGAATGCTTGGTAGACCACGTCGTGCGCCTGACGGTATTGGACAAGTTCTTGGCGGATGTGGTCGCCGAGTCGGACGCGATCCTCGGAACGAGCATGGTGGGGCTGCGAAGGCTGCGGCGGCTTACTGGCAAACTGTCATGGGCGGCCGGCGTCCTCCCTCGCACGCGTTGGGCAGTGAACATCCTCTGGGCGATCGTGGCTTCCGCGATCAGAGACACCGCGAAAGCAGCGCAGGGCCAGGGCCATCGCAGGGCGGGGCATCGCAAAGAGTTCTTGGTGGCGACATCGCGGTGCCGCTTGGCGTTGACGTGGCTGCTGGCCGTGTGGCGGGGAGTGCAGTCAGGCCCCAAAGTTCGAGAGGTTTCCCTCTGGCCAGGGGCGCCGAGATTCGTGGTCGTGACAGATGCTTCGCCGTGGGGCTTGGGAGCCATTCTGTGCGACCGCCACGCCCAGGCCACCATTGTGTACATTGCCTCTCCATTGAATCACTGGGACACCCGGCTCCTCGGCATCGCCATCGGGGAGTGCACGTCCCAGGCGGTCGCGGAGCTCCTGGCGGTGGTCGTGGCCGTGAAGGCTTGGGGCAGGTACTTTAAGACATCTACCACGTTATTGGAATTGCGCTCTGACTCCACGGCAGCCCTGGGGGTCGCCAACAAGCTGGCGTCGCCCAACAAGGTCTTGAACTTTCTTGCCGCGGAGCTGGCGCTTTTCCTGGAGACGCATTGCCTCCCCGACCTCGTCGCCCAACACGTGGCCGGCTCAAGGAACGTCGTCGCCGACTGGCTGAGTAGGCTGCAAGCGCCCCAAGGGCAGCAGGGCGAAAACTCCGCGGACGCCATCGCGCACGCGAAGCTCCGGAAGGTGGTCGACAGGGACTCCGGGTACTACACGCTCCCGGACCCGATCAAGTTTACCGACCTCTGGGGCGATTGCCTCGGGTCAAATTTCGGGTCGACGTCCTGGTCGGCCGTGGGGTTGCGAGAGGGCGCGCCCTTCGTGTGCCAGTAGCGGCGCGGTCTGCTAGCGCCCGCATCGCAGCTCCAAGTGGCCATTGGGGGCCGTGGGCAGGCCCGACGGGGGCTTATCCACCGTTCGGCAGTGGGCTCAGCGCCCGCCGGACTGCGGTGGGGCAGCTGCGCCAGCGTCGGTTGTGACACCTGGTGGCGCTTATGCGTTTCGGCGACGTCTTCGGACCGAGTTGCCGGCGTCATACTTGCATCTTCATTCGTTTGCGCCTCATCGGGCAAAAAAAAAGTGGGACAGGGCACCATCAGCAAGAGGTGTCGTGACAATTTCGTGCCCGCTTTTTGCTTCCAGTGTGTTGCATTGCAGCGGAAGGGTCAAGATTTTGACCCTTCCGGGGCCCGTGGGTATACAAGCTCATGGGACGTGGGGGCCGACTCCACCCCGGAGGCCCTGCCAGGCCCAAGCCGGACCCAAAACGATAGTGGATGGGCCGGCACGCCGGTTTTTTGGCGGTTTGGCCGGCACACGCAAAAACGATAGCGGATGGGCCGGCGCGCCGGTTTTTTGGCGGATAGGCCGGTACTTTGGTGATGGCGTTGACATATGTTACATGCTGCATGTATGTTACTTCTTCTTACTTATATCTAGCATCTTCATCAAAACTAGTTTACTTATATCTCACTTATATGTAACTTGTATCTAATTTATAAGTCCGATAAGTCTGCTTTTTCGTATGGAAAATGGGGGGCGGGGGCGCTTTCAAAAACGCGTCGGCGTCGCCGTCGATCCGCGCAGCCTGCGGGGCCCCGCTCCCGCCCCCCTCCTCTCCGTCCCTCCTTTTCCCCAGGCGGGATGCCGCCAGGCGGGCTACCGCCGCGCGAACGTGATTTTTTACAACAGGCGGCCCACCGCCAGGCGGTGCACCGCCGCGCGCGCGCGTTTTACACCAGCGCGCGGACCGACCCGTCCTCGGCTCGGCGGGTGCACGCCGCAGGCGCCCGCGGGGCGTCCTCAGCAGCCAGCGCGCCGCATCCTATGGGGCGGCGGCGTAGTGGGCCATCCCATCCTCCTCGTCCTCCTCCTCCTCCTCCTCCTCCTCCTCCTCCTCGCACCTTTATTCAAAGCGAGAGGGTCCTGGTGGTGGATTTCATTCATTCAGTATCATGGGTTCAATTTAGGATGGGTTTCAATCATTCACGATTTCTTTCAGTATCATGGGTTTCAATCATGATTTCTTTCAGTATTGGACAGGCAGTCTCCATTCACGATGTCGTTTAGTATCTTGGGTTTCAATCCTGGGTTGGGATTCATCTTTGTTCTGCCCCTTCCTCTCCCGCTTCTTGCCCGCCTTCCCTCTTTCTCTACCGTGCGCATTTGGCGTATTGGTGGCTTCTCAGGTTTGTGTTTTGGGAGAGCCGACCTTTCAAGGCGCGTCATCATCATCATCATCATCATCCTCCTCCTCCTCCTCCTCCTCCTCCTCTCCTTCCTCGTCCCCCTCCTCCTCCCCTCCTCCTCGTCCCCCTGTTCCTCCTCCTCCCCCTCCCTCCCCTCCTCCCCCTCCCTCCTCCTTGCGCAGCTCGGTCCTCCTCGTGGCCGCCACGCGGACTCCCCAGGCGCAGGCCGCGACGCCAGGTCCAGCGGCTCCACGATGAGGTAGGAGCGCCCCGCGGCCACCGCCACGCAGTGGACGTGGAACGCGGCGTCGCCCTCGAGCCACGCGTCCCCGCTGCCGTAGACGAGGCCGCCGACATCAGCTCGACGACAAGTGATTGCGCCGTGCCTGGATAGGCCCTGGTGCACGTGCGAGCCTCGGCGTTGCCCCGAGAGGCGCCCCCGCAGGCGCGCCCCCCATGGAGGCTCGCGCATGCACCAAAGCCCATTTGGCCCCAACCGCGCTGCCCGATGATCCCGTCGAGCTCAGGGGTCGGCCACCATTTGTGCGACTGGCGCGGCGCGGCCGAGGACTCGTGCAAGTGCGTAGCCACAACTTGGGTGATCACATCCTTGTCCATGCCGCCCAAGCGGTCGTAGTGCTCCGCGGTGTCCTTGATGAGCTTGTGTTTTCGCTCGAGCACGAAACAGTCGAGCATCAACCCATCCTCCGCCGCCTGCACAGCTGCGTGCCAAAGATAATGATGCTTAGGCACGATCCACGCGTCCGTGTAGGCCCGCACGTGTTTCCTGAGCGCCAACCCGACATGGCGCTTGAAATCAACATCGAACGTGTCTGGGCAGCCGCCGCGTTTCGCCGCCAGGTACAGTTCCAGGACGGCATACATGGCCTCAAAGGACCGCGCCTGGGGCAGGAACGGCGCGTGATGCGGCAAGAAATCCACGTGCAGCCAGTTCCTGAGGAACGGCAGGACGGCGAGGCAGTCCGACGCGGAGCCGACGAAATGCCCTGCCTCGACGCAGGCTTTCTTCCTGGCAGGGGAGAAGAGATGCACGGGAGCTTTCCCTCCGCCGCGGCCTGGAGCCCAGCGCTGGAAATCGGTTCGCCACCGATCCCACGCGTCTGGAATCACGCGCGCCACTGCTTTGTGCAGGCAGAACACCTCCACCTGGAACGTGCCTCCGCTCGCCAGGATGATGTGCACCGGGTCGCGCGTGTACATGTCCAGCGAGCAAACGCGTCGGAGTTCGACGTCGGCCATCAACGAGAACTCGTTCACTGTGATGCCGTGCGCGGATTGGAGATTCTGGAAGGCCACTGCACTCGCCGCGCGTTGAAGTTCCACGAGTTCGTCGTACCCCTTCGCGAACTCCTTGGCGGGAGCCGGCCGAGCGAACTCCGCTCGCGAATTCCAGGGAGTTCGCGAAGTCCGTTCGTGAACTCTCTGGACTCGCCGAGCGTCGGCCGCGCATTGCCCGCCCCCGACGCCTCCGCAGTCATCGGGTCGAACCTCGAGGCGTCGACGCAAGCGATACCCACCAGGTAACCAGACGGGTCCCAACGGCTGAGGGTGCCAGTCCCCTGGTCGAGCACGACGTTCTTGCAGTTGCAGCAGGGCCGCCAACCGCTGGAGCCCTTGTGCGAGAAGGTGTCCTTGCCCGCGCTTTCGTCCATGATCAGCCTGTGGCACTTGAAATGCAACCGAGACGCGCCGACGTCGAAACCGCCGCCTCCTGGCCCGAGGAAGAGGCGCCGCAGGATGGCCCTCGCCACGCCCGCTGCGGTGATATCCTTCTTGTCCTCTGACCGAAGGACTCCCAGCGGGAGCCAGGCGCCCTCTTCTTGAAGGTATGTGCCCAGCTCCAAAAAACTAATGTACACAACAATGGACGTCCTGCGGTTTGCAGCTTTGAGCTGCGCGCCGACGACCACGTCGTCGTGGTAGAGCAGCATCCGCCACGGTTGCGATGGCGACGAAGGAAACACCCGCATCGCCGCCCAGAACCGATCACTCCAAGGCCCCGCCGCGTGGGCCAGCTTGGGGACGATCTTGTCGGGCAAACATACAGTCCACCTGAACGCTGGGCCACCGTCTCGGCGCGGCAATTCGATAACATCCAGAAGCGGCGCCACCGCGCGAGCCACGTCGGCGCCCACGGTCGCCGCCGCCACGTGCTCGTCGTCGTCCTGCAGCAGGACGCGAGCCACCCTGCGCGGGGAAGGCGGGTGGAGATCGGTTGGGCATTTTGAAAAGAAAAAGCCGACCAAACAAAACATCCTTCAAACACATTGCGCATTATGATTTTTGGATTCCGTGCACCTGTCCAGCGCCGCCCGCGATACGCCCCGCAGAAGCGCTGCCTCCTGCAGCCTCTGACGCTTGCCAGGAGGCCATCGCTCGGCCATGGCGCCGCCCCCGCCTGGCGCGCCGCCGCGGGCGCAGAAGCGCTGCCTCCTGCAGCCTCTGACGCTCGGCAGGAGGCCATCGCTCGGCCATGGCGCCGCCCCCGCCTGGCGCGCCGCCGCGGGCGCCCTTCGAGCCGTTGAAGTAGGGTGGGTGAGGCGGTGGAAAAGGTTGACAACGGATGACGGATGGGTGACAACGGATGACGGATGGCGGGGTACCGCCGACGACGGATGGCTGACAACAGGCGGTGTACCGCCAGAAGACTCCTGAGCATGGACAGGAAGCGGAGTACCGCCGACGACGGATGGCTGCACACGGGCGGTGCACCGCCAGAAGAGTGCGGGGCATGGACAGGAGGCGGAGTACCGCCGTCGGCGGATGGCTGGCAACGGGCGGTGTACCGCCAGAAGAGTGCGGGGTGTGGACAGGAGGCAAACTACCGCCGTCGGCGGATGCTGCCCATGGGCGGTGCACCGCCAGAAATAAGAGGAGCATGGCTACAAGGACGCCGTGCACGAGGAAAGGGAGGCGGACCACGGAGGAATATAGTTTTTGTCTAAGCGAGGGAAGTCTGCGCGGGCGGGGGCAGACTTCCAGCGCGCCTCCAGCGCGCCCCAGCGCGCGTCGCAGCGGCTGGGGACTGAGCAGGGCAGCCGCCGCCGAGCTCAGTCCTTCGAGGTGTTCTTCTTGCTGTACTTCTTGGCCTGTAGAAGGATGATCGGGGCGCAAACGCGATCGATCGGCGGTCGAACGCGATCGATCGGCGGTCGATCGCGATCGAACGGCGCTCGATCGGCGGTCGATCGATCGATCGGCGGTCGACCGATCCGAACGCGATCGGTCGGCGGTCGATCGGCGAAATCCTCGATGGGTCGAGCGGTCGATCAGCAAAATCTTCGATCGATCGATCGGCAGTCGAGCGGTCGATCGGCGGAGCACCGCCATCCACGATGGATGAAAAGGCCGTTGAGCAGCTCGCGTGCTCGATGGCCGAACGCAGGCCACCGACAGCGGTCTTTGCGTCGGCGAGGGCTGCCTCCAGGGCCTTCGCCTCGTACGGCAAGCTCGCCCTGGGGTCCTCGAGCGCGGTCTTCGCGGCCTCCCTGAGCTTCGAGAGATCCTTGTGGCTGTCCTTCGCGTTCTTCACCGCCCAGGTCGGCACCCTGGAGCAGTCCTCGTCGTCGAGGAGCGATGCGAGCTGCACGTCCCAGGACCCCGTCTTTTCCAGCGTCTTCATCG